GACAGAGTGAGACTCCAACTCAAAAAAAAAAAAAAAGAGCAAGAGTCAGGTACTCAAAATTGCTATTTTTGAGGTGCAGTGTCTTTGCTTTTCTCCCTTGAGTCTAAGTTGCTAGTTACCAATTGCTAATAACTCCTATTCCTTAGGATATTTTAAACCAGGGGTTGGCAAAACATAGCCTTTAGGCCAAATCTAGTCCATCACCTGCTTCCGTAGGAAGGTCCTACTTCCTTGGTGGCTGCCAGTGGTTGCCTACCACTGTAAGGGCAAAGCTGAGCATTTACAGAGATCATACAGCCTAGGAGGACAAGCTGCTTACTATCAGGCTCTTCACAGAAGAAGTCTGCCAAGTCCTGTTTTATTTATGAGAAGACTGTCTCACTTCTCCCATGAGAATATAAGCTCCAGTAAGGAAAAGACTTTTTTGGTCTATTACATTCATTGCTGTACCCTCAGAGTTGAGAAAAATATGCCGAGCACAGTAGGTTCTCAACATATACTGTGGAAGGATGACAATTTCTAATTAAATTGTAAATTATTTTATTTCTAAAGTGAGCAACTCAGTACTGGAAAACAGTTCCAGGATTACTGTTAGTAAATGTCTAAATAATAACATCTAACTGAAGTTGGTTAGAAATTTCCAGTCATTTCAATTTGTCTATTAGTTTGTCTGTATATTTCTAATAATCGTTACGAATATAATTTGAATCAAGCTCCAGGGTATAATTCTAAACATAAGCTGATATTCAGACTAAACATTTTAGAAATCACATAGAGGCTATTGCTTTTTCAAAGGGGCTGCTTTATGTTGAGGAAAAATAAGACTTTAATGTCAAAATAGAGTCAGCTTCAGAAGTTCTGTAATCACACCCTGTAAGCTATTTTCAATGGATATATCTAACCATTACTCCTTCCAGCCAAACCAACTTGACTGCACACCAGAAAACTGGTCAGCTAGTCTCCCCTCTGCTTCCCCTGACAAGCTCCAACTTAAACTTTAACCAAAGATCACATATTATTTTCTAAGCCAAAAACAATAATGATAAATACATGGCTGCCAACTAAATGCAGAGCAAAAAACAAAAACAAAACGTAATCACACGTCAGTCCTTTACTACCTGAGTATTTCATAAAACAATAAGTCTTAAGAGAATGAGAGAAATACCAAAAGAGACAATATTTTCCTACATTTCTACCCACACTGGCATATTACATTAAATGTCATCAACAGCCAGACACATTTTGTCAGTTTTGTGAATGCTATTAAACAAAAGAGCATAAAAGCAATTTAAACCTAAAATGCTATGTAAAAAAAGAAAACCAAAACAAGGAAAGGAAATGAGTACATTTATTATGTACCTACTGTAGCCCAAAAACATGCTAGTTTCTTTCATATACATTATTACTTAGCCCTTAAAATGACCTTTCAAGGTTCATCACTCTTATGAGGAAACTAAGCTCACAAGCTAAAGAATACAAAGAGTGACTCAGCCGGTAAGGGCTGCAATGAGAACGAGAACTCTGGTTCCCCACCTGGATCTTTCAGTCCCATAAGTTTACTCCAAAGTATGGTATGTGATGATGATACCAGATGATACCAGACAAATATTTTTTATTTTAATGATTATCTCTTGTAACCTATATTAGAAAAACACTTATGAAATAATGAATTTTATATTATAAATCTTGTTCTTTATGAGAACGTTACATTAAAATGAGGAAATTTTTAAAAAAGTTATTAAGTAAATGATAGAACAAGGTTATGTACACATGGTAAAAACTCTCATGCTGGTATGCACAATGAGATTTGAAAGATGCTACCAAGCAAGAAATTGCCTTCCAAAAACACACTATTCAGCATTGATGCTTTCCAAGTAACATTGTCGACATACCTGACATAGTTTGGTCAAGTCTGTGGATAAGTGACTTCTTAGCACACTCAATATCAGGACTTGGGTGATCCAGAACTTGCCTGCACCAAACTAACGGGCTCACAGATTTCTGCATTGGTGTGAGTGTTTTCTTTGGTGATGAATACAGCCTAGAAGAAAAAAGAAATACAAAAACATTCATTTTTAAGCACAAAATTAAAAACAGGGATCCCTTTGGTTCAATTTAAATTGAAGAGGAAGGAGCAAAGGTGATGGAATATGTTTAAAACCACCCACAGTTACTTCCTGCACAGAAAACAAATACTGTATAATAATAAATGTAAACCCAAGTTTCAAGTATGAAATAAATTCAACGGACTTCTCTCTTCCTCTCATCTTTAACTTGGGTCTGTCACCAGCATGCATTGTAGTCAAGATTAATGTGGTAAATGACCACCATATCTTTAGTCCACAATCTGTATTCATCTGGACAAAAATACTGAAATCAAATCTCAACTTATGAAATAACTTACAATTCAAAATTAAATCAATGGGGCATTCTCTTTCCAACTTAAATACTGCAATGCCCCATAACAAATCTTGACCTCTTCATCCCTACTTTAAAAGCCGCAGCAATGATTGTATATTAACACTCTGCTAGCAAATGGGTAGCAACTAAATATCCACAGATAGATGACAAGCATTAATAAAAACCACCTTATGACATTATCACCACTCTAGCAACATATAACTTTTCCTTACACTGACTGGTTTTATATAACTTTACCCACACAACTCATATGCACAGGTACACTGTCCCTCTCTACCGCTGGCTATAAAACTCGTTTTAAAAAATGCAAGAAGCCGGGCTCAGTGGCTCAGCCTGTAATCCCACGCCTTTGGGAGGCTGAGGTGAGTGGATTACCTGAGCCCGCGGGTTTGAGACTCGCCTGGGCAGCGAGACCTCATCTCTACAATAAATAAAAAAATCAGCCGGACGTGGTAGCGCATGCCTGTAATTCCGGCTACTTGGAAGGCTGAGGTGGAAGGATCGCTGGAGCCCAGCAGGTGAGGCTGTGGTGGCCAGGAGCAGCCACTGCACTCCAGTCTGGGCGACCGAATGAGACAACAACTCAAAAAAAAAAAAAAAAAGCAAGAAACATGGATGAGCCTCAAAAACACAATACTCAGTGAAAGAAGGCAGACACAAAGAATACAGACTGACATGCTGTAAGAGTCCACTTAAATAGAATGTCTAGAAAAAACCAAGGAGCAGAAAGCAGAAAAGTGGCTGCCTAGGGCTGGAGGTGGGAATGGGGATGAGGTCTCTTTTTAGGGTGATTCAAGTGCTCTAGAATTAGATGGTAGTGATGACTGTAAATATACCAAATCACTGAATTACACAATGACTCTTATGGTATGCAAACGACACAGTAATGGGTAAATGTTATGGTAATATAAATTGTGTCTTGATAAAGTTGTTTTTAAAACATCTGCTGGGCTCGGTGGCTCAGCCTGTAATCCCGGCACCTTGGGAGGCTGAGGTGAGTGGACTGCCTGAGCCCACAGATTCAAGACCCGCTTGGGCAACTTGGTGAGACCTCATCTCTACAATAAATGAAAAAATTAGCCAGGTGTGATAGTGTGCGCCTGTAGTTCCAGCTACTTGGAAGGCTGAGGTGGAAGGATCGCTGGAGCCCAGCAGGTGGAGGCTCTGGTGGTAGGCTTCTTCTCCAATGCGGCCACTGCACTCCAGTCAGGGAGACTGAGTGAGACTCCAGCTCAAAAAAAAAACAAAAACAAACTGTAAGGTACTCTGAGCATCTTTAAAAATACAGAAACGGGGCTGGGCATAATGGCTCACACCTATAATCCCAGCACTTAGGCTGAGGTGAGAGGATTGCCTGAGCCTGAGAGTTCGATACCAACCTGGGCAACTTGGCAAGACCTCATCTCTACAATAAATCAGAAAATTATCTGGGAATGGTGGCACGCGCCTGTAGTTCCAGCTACTTGGGAGGTTTAAGGTGGAAGGATGGCCTGAGCCCAGCAGGTCGAGGCTGCAGTGGCCGGGAGTGTGCCACTGCCCTCCAGCCGGGGTGACACCAGAATGAGACGCCAATTCAACAACAAAAAAACCCCACAGAAACTGTTGTATGCTAAATGAATAGAGCATCAGTAACTAAAAACCAATTAAGCTACAATACTTTCATCCCTCCTACTCACCAGAACCCCCACAATATCGTTCCTGTTTTTGCCAATGTCACTGCAATTCTTTCAGCTACAAGGACTAAAAAATTTTTTTAGTTTAGTTTTTGGATTCCTCCATCTTTTTTATTCTCTAAGCAATAATGGCACCAAGTCTTGTTGATCCACCTTTATAAGCTACCTTTCTCCCCATTCCTGTACTCATTCCTCTAACTGGAGCAGAAGAAAACACTCTTCCTCCCATTCGTGGATAAAAGTTAATGGTACAACCTGCCCACACCTAGAGCGATGAAAAGGGAGAGAAGCCTACCATCCTGGGCCCCCCAAACTTTTTTACCATTCTATCCTCTTAATTCAAGGTTCCTATCACTACCCTAAGACTAGAAACAAAGGGCTCTGGTCCAAATGATACCAGCACTAAATTATTCTTTGGTCGGGGAACCTTTGGTTGGGGTTTCAAAGTACATGCTTCTAACCCTAATGGAGGACACCTGAGCTGGGCTGGATTGTGTAACTGGATCCTTAGCAGGACTGCATTGTTTTTCAAGGAAATCCCCATCTCCAGTCATATCCTCCTGAATGCACCTGATAGCATCTAAAGAAAATCCCAAATAAAAATATTTGGAATAATTATACATTATCATCTCCTTTGTTTACATCTTACAAATGTGGACTTCTTCAAAATAATTATTTTGCCTACTAAAAATATTTTGTCACTCTGACACTTTAGAATTTATGAAATCATGGTATATGATTAATCAAGAGGGACACATTTCTGATGAACACACCAAGTTTACTGATGGCTAATATAATTTAAGAAAGGTTGCAATTTGCCAGCCTTGACTAAAAAAACTCAGACATTACTTCACTATCCTATTACTATTAAAATTAAGTCAGGGAGGCCCAGTAGGGAGCTGAGCTCCGCCCCCCACAAGAGGTAACATTGGGAAGGAGGGCAGTGGCCCAGCAGGAGCTGATCTTAACTCTCCATCCACGGAAAGGAGCTAGGGTAGTGTCAACAGGACCTGGCATGGCAGGGAATGGAATGTCCCCCAACCCAGACCTCAAGGTGTACCTCAACTGCATGACCACCTGCCTTCTACAAACCCACAATCTCCAGGATATCACTGAAATCATGCACTTACCATACCCAGGACGCAGTTAAAGGACAGACAACAAACAGAACAATGAGGTCAATTAAAAACAAACAGCAACATGGCTACCATAAGTCCAGCCATCCTACTCATTCCATTAAAAGTAAATAGACTCAGCACCTACTCAAATGCAGAGACAGAGCGGATAAAAAACCAAGACCCAACAACAGGGTGTCCACAAAAGAAACATCTTAGATTCAATCTATGTCTCAATAGGTTGAAAATAAAAGAATTTTGGAAAAAATACACCATGTAAACAGTAACCATAAAAGAGCTGAAGTGGCTATACTATTATTAAACAAAATAAACTTTCTGTAATTTTTCTTTAAAGACACAGGGTCTTACCATATTGCCCGGGCTAGTCTTGAACTCCTGGACTCAAATGATCTTCACACCTCAGTCTCCCAACTAGTTGGGACTATAGGTGCAAGCCACCGCACCAGGTTCAAAATAGACTTCAAGATTAAAAATAGTTACTCAAGCCAAAAAGGGACATTTTAACACATCAGGAATATACAGCATATGTAAACATACCTAACAACAGATAAACAACTCAGAAATTTTATTTGGGGGTTTGAATAAACCACTCTCAATAACTGAAAAAAAGAACTACACAGATAATCAGTAATCATAAAGAGGACTTGAACGTCATTATCAATCAACTTTACTTAACCAACACTTATGGGATATGCCACCCAACAATAACAGAATACACATTCTTTTTAATTGCACATGAACATTTTCCTAGAAAGGTCGTTGGCTGAACCATAAAACAAGTTTTACTGAAATGAACAGAACTGAAATTCTTCAAATTAGGTTCTCTGACCACAATGAAATTAGAAATCAGCAACAAAAAGAAGGTCAGTAATTCCAAAACTTGGAAATTAAACAACACACTTATAAATAACCAAGGTCAGGTCAAGCATGGTGGCTCTAATGCCTATAATCCTAGCACTTTGGAAGGCTGAAGAGGGAGGACTGCTTGAGACCAGGAGTTTGAGACCAGCATGGGCAACATAGTGAGACCTCATCTCCACAAAAAATAAAAGTAGCCAAATGTGGTGGTGTACACCTGTAGTCCCAGGTACTCAGAAGGATTGTCCGAGCCCAGGAAGTCAAGGCTGTGGTGAGCCATGTTCATGCCACTGCACTCCAACCTGGACTACAGAGTAAGATCTCGACTCAAAAAAGAAGATTATAAGGGAATATTATGAACAACTTTATGCCAACAAAATAGATTAACTTAGATAAAAGAGACAAGTACCTAGAAAGGCACAAGTTATCAAAAAACAAAAACAACTCCTCAAGAAGGAAGAATCAGAACAGACTTACAAAAAGAAACTGAATTAGAAATTTAAAAATTGGCCATGCTCGGTGGCTCAGCCTGTAATCCCAGCACTTTGGGAGGCCGAGGCAAGTGGATTGCCTGAGCTGGCAGGTTTGAGATCTACCCAGGCAACTTGGTGAGACCTTGTGTCTCTACAATAAATAAGATAAAATAAAATAAAATAAAAAATTAGCTGGGTCTGGTAGCGTATACCTGTAGTTCTGGCTACTTGGAAGGCTAAGGTGGAAGGAGTCCAGCAGGGCGACTGTGCCCCAGTCTGGACGACGGAGTGAGACTCTAATTCAAAATAAATAAAAATAAATTTAAAAATCTTCCCACAAAGAAAAGCCCAGGTCCAGATGCTTTCACTTATTAATTCCATCAAATATCAAGAAAAACATAATGCCAACTCTGCATAAACGCATACCTAATGATAAAAGATCAGATACTTCTTCCTAAGACTGGGAACAAAGTAAGGATGTGCACGCTGATTACTTCCACTACATGTTGTAGTGGAGCATCTAGACAGTAAAATAAGACAAGAAAAATAAATGAAAGGCATTTAGATCGAAAAGAAATAAAGTAGGTCAGGCACAGTGGCTCAAGACTATAATCCCAA